CCGTACAAGGGGCTGAAATCTAATTACAGGTATCTTTCCGTTATCGCATGATTCGCATCCACCCATCCGCATCCTATGCTGATGCCTCCAGGTACCTAGTCCCTTTATTATCACAAGCATGTCCAGTCGAACTCCTCAAGTGTGAGCTCTTACCGTGTTTCTCGCATCTGAGAGTTGAAACCAGATTTGAAACCAACATTCAGAGGCAAAGAGGCAATATCAAAGTTGGAGTGGCAGGAACAAACCACTTTGGATGATCATTATTTTAGGCTGACAGATGGCCACCTAGATTCTGTACGCACGCAGCAAGGAACTATCTACCTATGAAATCAAAGTACGGAGGATGCTGTGCTATCTTTATCTTCTGTCCAAAAGTAAACTTTGCAATGTCGTAAAGTTCGTGTTGTCTCCCAGGTTAAGGGGCCAGGTTGACCCCGTATTCTGCATTTAAGCCCCGTATTACAGTATGTAGCAGTTGGCAGTAGGCTGAGATTAAGGTAGTCGGATAGTTAAAACATGCGTTGGTCTCATGTTGGTTAGTTTTACTTCGTACTTAGTTAGGTGTCACCGTGTCAGGCGCTGCCTGCTGTTGGTAGGTGGAACCCAACACGCAGCTGCAACGGATAAGACGATCGCTTGTATTATTGCCGTTTCCATACAAATAATTTGAGTCGTCCAGTCTACTTTTCCGTCTTCAACCCCCAGATTTTCTCCATTCTGAATACTTACTGCGTTGATCCCTTTCGTGTTGCTTCTGACTTCGGTTCTTCTTCTATTTTGTCCTCCTTGATTCTGGTTTGCGCCGAATTTCTAGGTGGGTGGCTAGACGTCGCCAGCCATTCGAAAGTTCTCCCACTAGGTGTCCACCGTGTTTTGACCGCTACTATATACGCTGATACCTTTAAATTGATCGCTAATTTCCGGCCGTTTCATCGTCGCTTCCCCTGGCCTGGGACTTGTGCTTCTTCCAACTGGCTTTATTCAACCATTTTTTCTACGTTTGTCGTACAAATCGCCTTCAAACTTGACCGTCCGCATTATCGGTGAATATGTCCGCGAACCCCCGCAAACCTGGGACTCCAGGCAGTGGGAACAAATCCTCAAATATGGACAATAACGCAGCCAACGGAACTCCGTCGCGAGTTCATTCTCGATCCCCCAGTGCTTCTACAAACGGTCTATCCCGATCGCCTTCCCTCCGTGGCTCGGCTCCGGTCTCTGCGCGCGCTGCAGCCCGGAAGCCTGGTCGGTCCAACCTCAGCATGTCCAATGTACCCCAGGTGGCGGCTGATCCGTCCGAGGAAGAGGCCCGGGCCCAGAATGCAGCTCTGATCGAAGAATTGAAGGAGCAGTTGCAGAAAGCTGAGAGTGCATCGGAGCAGTACCGCAAGCAACTTGGTGTCTTGCAAATGCGCCTCGACGAAGCGATCAGCGAGCAGGGCAAGTTGGAGGACCAGGCTCATGAGAAGGACGGCAAGATTGAAGCCCTCAACAGCGAATTAAGAGACCACATTCGCCAGATCCGAGACCTAGAACAGGCACACGAGTTGGAACGGAATGCCATGCTGCAGGAGAAGGAGCAGCACCTGAGCCGGGAGGAAGAAATGCAGGCGACCATCCAGCGCTTGAAAGACACGTTGGCTCAGAAGGAGTTACGGATTAACGCTGATAACGACAAGAATGTTTCCCGTTCTTGTGAGTAATTCATCTCATCTTCTCCCCTTTCTATAATTGTCACTGACACGTCATTACAGCCAGTTTCCGGAATCGGTCCTCACCAGACGTGGAAGGGCAGTTTGCACCTTCATCCCAGATCGAGCGGAGCCCATCGCGAAACAATTCAAAGCTGCTTTTGCAGAAGGACAAACTCATCGAGTCTCTCCGTCTCGAATTGGCTGAATCCCAAATCAAGCTCGTGGAGATGGAGAACAAAGGCGGTGGCCGGCAACGCGAATTGGAGAAGGAGCTTTTGGAAGCCCGTATGGCTAATGCTCGTCTGATGGAGGACAACGAGAGTTATCAGCTACTCTTGAGCGAACGGACATTGAATGGGGACTTCACCAAAGGTGATTTCATGCGGGAAGCCCACCCCGATTATGATGAGGGGCAGGAACCCAGCAATGGATTGGGCTCTCTGGCTGACGAGCTCGAGTCAGTGGATGCCAAAGCGGAAACCGACAATACCCGTAAACTCGAAACGGAGATCAAGGTGCTCAAGGACCAGAATAAGGCCCTGACCCTGTACATTGAGCGCATTATTAGTCGTCTCCTGCAACATGACGGCTTCGAAACCATCTTGGACAAAAACGAAAACGAACCTTCATCTACTGCAAAGCAGGTATCTTCACTAACTGACAAGGACCTGCCCCCGACGCCTCCAGAGAAGGATGACGCATCTTCCCAGACTTTTCTGCAAAGAGCGAAGTCGGTCGTCTCCGGCCAACCAAATCGTTCTCAGCATAGATCCCGTCCGTCTACTTTCATGCCACCCCCGACGAGTGTCCCGACAGCTCACGAAAACCCCGAAACAGCGCCGAGCATTCCCATCAATCGAGCGCAGCGTGGCCATCGCCGCACTCGGTCAGATCAAGCGGATGTTGCAGCGGCAGCTGTTGTCGGCCAGATGTATCCTGGACGCAACTCTGGTGGGCCTATCAGCCCGACCCTCATGGGTCCCGGATCTCGCCAGAGTGTCTTTTCAGGGGCAGGCTATATGTCAAGCATGAGTACCCGTGCACCGTCTCTCTCCAGCCAGCCAGAGCGGGGTCGAATGAGTAGCTCGAACAGCGTTACCAGTGACCCGCATGATACGGCTTCCACTGGGGCAACCTCCAATTCACCACGCTCCAGCACCGGCATGACAAACTACACTGGAGCAGTCATGACTCAGAATAAACTACGCCCGCTACGGCTGGTCAGTGAGACAAAGGCGGCAGAGGACGAGGAGGCAGCTCGGAAAAAAGCCAACCGTGGAAGCTGGATCTCATGGTTCAATCGTCCAAACACAGGTGACGCAGCACAACAGCAAACATGAGCTGAGCTTCTATTCCTGACTGGCGACTCTCTGTTACGACTTCTTTTGCACTGACTCTTTTACTTTGGTTGTCTCATATCCCCGCTTCTGTGTAATATTGTTGTTCTCTTCTGCTTCTCAATATGTCGCCCTGTTGAGGAATACCCTATCTTTATGATGACTACCATGACGTTTGAAGTTGATTGAAGATTGCTTCGCCGAAGCACCATGTGCCGCTCCTTTCTACGATACCAGGAGGGCAATTTTGTTCCTGATTTTGGCTGTGATAGCCACTTCAGGATTCTTCTTGTCTTGGATGATTCCTTTGCACTTGTGAAATCGTTGATGTCCATTACTCATCAGGAATATATCCATGAGACTCTATCTTTTATGCCCACTGTCCTTCATGAACATATGACTGATATATTAGTTTCATCATAAAATCTTTGATAATATTTTGCTTATCATTCACTATTTGTGGATTCAAAGGCTTGTTCCCGCAGCTACAGGCCTAGTTCAATACCTTTAATATCATGATATAGAGTAAATTCAAACATTTCCCCTTTAGATCCATCTTTCTCTGGAACATGTTCCCCTTATTCTTTCAACTGTTGCTGGTTGACTTACCAACCCTTATCGACATCGACATTGGCCGGAATAATGTTGCGGCGGAAGCCGAATTGCGGACAGCTTGACAGTACTCCGTAAACAGCAATTCATTTTGAACTTCGAGACCAGGCGATTTCTGATACATTAGCAGCTCTCTTCCCGAAAATTGTCGCCCATCATGGTCGGTTCTCTGTCTCTCTTCTCCGTCAATGCCGTCCTGCTCATGTCGGCTGATGATGGATCTCGCATCTTCGCCAAATACTACTCCCCGCCTCATCCCCCAGCTGGTGCTGCCCCCAATTCAACTGATTACCCCGGCGCCAACCCCTACCCAACCCTGAAGGATCAAAAGGCGTTCGAGCAGGGTCTCCTCGAGAAGACCAACAAGCAGACCAGTGATGTGATCCTCTACGACAACCGAGTCGTTGTCTTCAAGATGGAGAGCGACGTTATGATCTACGTGGTCGGAGGCGCCGAGGAGAACGAAGTTTTGCTGTACAATGTTGTTCTATCATTGCGAGATGCTCTGGGAATCTTGTTCAAGTACGGTTCCCCGCTAATTTGGCAGCTACATAATCAATTGGGTTGTTGGAGCTAACGTTTGGTCTTTCAGGGGCGCCACCGACAAACGCACAATCGTCGAGAACTACGACCTGGTCGCGCTGGCTATTGACGAAATCATTGATGATGGTATCATTCTCGAGACGGACCCTGTCATGGTTGCTTCGCGCGTCAGCCGTGCCCCAGCACCGGATGCACCAAACCTGAAGAGCATCGATCTGTCGGAACAAGGTCTCCTCAATGCTTGGGAGCTGGGAAAGAGGCGTTTGGCGGAGGGATTACGGCAGATGTAATTGCATCGTTTTCTCTGGTTGTTATCATATGATGGGCGTGCACTTGTTTTTTCCTTGTCTCCTTTCTGGCTGGTCCTGGCGTGGTTTTGTGCGCGCACTTGTTGCATTATGACTTGTTCTTACTCTCTTCTATTCTCGCCTCGGGCTAGCGACTTACGCAGATCTGAGGATTCGATAGAGATACTCCATTTTGTTACATGGCGGGGAAAAGGGCCTAGACATGATGAATTCTCGATTGGACGATGACGCCTTGGGCGATTGTCGGAGGCCATCACCGACGGTCCAAGTAGTCTTTACACTCTTAGAAGCCTCATCAGTATACGAAGGGTCGGTTTGATATGAGAGTCCAATTATGGCTCATACAAATCGGTGATATGGGTTAATCTGCTAAAGCGATCGGTTTACTGTGCCCCGCATACGTCACGTCTTTCCACACATTTTCGCAGAAGTTCTGATTGTCAAACTAAAATCATCTTCACCAGATTATCAACTCTACCAGGAGTCCCTGGTCAGCAGCTAGGAAAATGAAGCAACGATTCTCATCCCTGGACGTCAAGGTACGTCTGTTGCAGCTCAAACTTCCATGTTAAAGGCGCAGAATCTCACAGAACGACAGGTCATTTGCCAGGAACTCGCCTCGGAGCTGGTCAACCTTCGAGTTTCGAACATTTACGACCTTTCCTCGGTATGTTAGGTTGATTTGAACAGGTAATTAGATGATCGGATTATGCTGATCCCCCTCGCTAGAGAATATTTCTATTCAAGCTCGCCAAACCCGACCATCGCAAGCAACTCGTCGTTGACTCAGGTTTCCGCTGCCATGTCACCCAATACTCGCGCGCAACGGCAACCGCCCCCTCTCCATTCGTGACTCGCATGCGCAAGTTCCTCAAATCGCGGAGACTCACATCGATCGAGCAGATCGGCACCGACCGTGTCATCGACTTCTCGTTCAGCGATGGCATGTACCACATGTTCCTCGAGTTCTTCGCCGGCGGCAACATCATCATCACCGATCGCGAGTACAACATTCTCACACTGTTCCGTCAGGTTCCTGCCGGAGTGGGCGAAGAGGAGATGAGAGTTGGTCTCAAGTACACAGTCACAAACAAGCAGAATTACCACGGTGTGCCTGAGATCACGTTGGACCGGATTAAGGAGACGTTGGAGAAAGCGAAAGAGGCTTCCGCGAAGGAAGGAACAGCGCCGAAGAAGTCGAAGAAGAAGAATGTGGATGTGCTGCGGAAGGCGTTGTCGCAGGGATTCCCGGAGTATCCTCCTCTGTTACTCGATCATGCTTTCGCGGTCAAGGAGTTCGATCCGGCGACGCCGCTGGAGAAGGTTTTGGGGGATGATGCTCTCATGGAGCAGGTCAACGGTGTGTTGAAGGAGGCCCAGAGTGTGACGAACAGACTCTCGGCAAAGGAAGATCATCCGGGTTATATCGTCGCAAAAGAAGATAAACGTCCCGCTGCGGAGCCGACTGCTGATACTGAGGAAACGTCACATAAGGCAGGGCTTTTGTACGAAGACTTCCACCCTTTCAGACCTCGCCAGTTTGAAGGGAAGCCGGAGGTTAAAATTTTCGAGTTCAGCACTTTCAACGCTACGGTTGATGAGTACTTCTCCTCGCTGGAGACTCAGAAACTGGAATCGCGGCTGACAGAACGCGAGGAGGCCGCGAAAAGAAAACTTGATGCTGTCAAGCAGGAGCATCAGAAGCGGCTCGGCGCCCTAAAAGAGGCACAGGAAATACATGTGCGCAAAGCGGCTGCGATCGAGGACAACGTCTACCGGGTGCAGGAGGCAATGGATGCTGTCAATGGGCTGATTGCCCAAGGAATGGATTGGGTAGAGATCGCCCGTCTGATCGAGATGGAGCAGGGCCGAGGCAATCCTGTTGCGCGGGTTATCAAATTGCCATTGAAACTCCACGAGAACACTATTACTTTGGTCCTTGGGGAAGCCAGCGAGGAGCAGGATGCAGCCGATGAGCTCTTCTCGAGCGATGAATCCGAGGAGGAGTCGGAGAGCGAAGAGCAGGAAGCAGCTCCGAAAGCCCCTGAAATGCTGACTATCGACATCGATCTCGGACTTTCGCCGTGGGCGAATGCTACTCAATACTACGAACAGAAGAAGATGGCCGCGGTGAAAGAGCAGAAGACGGCAAAGTCGTCGACTAAGGCGCTCAAGAGCCATGAGAAGAAAGTGACCCAAGATCTCAAACGGAGCCTCAAGCAGGAGAAGCAGGTCCTCCGTCCAGCCAGGAAACCTTTCTGGTTCGAAAAGTTCCTGTTCTTCATCTCGTCTGAGGGCTACTTAGTTCTAGGGTATGTGCTACGTCTGTCTCTGTCGCGCTATTTATATCATCTAACTTTGACAGTGGCCGTGACGCTATGCAAAGCGAGTTACTATACCGTCATCATCTCAAGAAAGGCGATATTTTTGTGCACGCAGACTTGGAAGGCGCTCGACCGATGATCGTGAAAAACAGACCAGGAACACCGGATGCTCCTATTCCACCGAGCACACTCTCACAAGCAGGGAACCTCTGCGTTGCGACATCGAGCGCTTGGGAATCCAAAGCAGTCATGGCAGCATGGTGGGTCAATGCGAACCAGGTGACTAAAACCACCACAGGCGGTCTTCTACCGACAGGAGAATTCGAGGTCAAAGGTGAAAAGAACTTTCTTGCCCCGTCACAGTTAGTTCTTGGGTTCGCAGTCATGTTCCAAATCAGCAAGGAAAGTTTGAAGCATCACAAAATTCACATATTCGAGGAGGCGACTCCAACAGAACCGGTGGCGAAGGAAGGCGAAACTACGAAGCAGATTGTGGAAACTGAACAATCTGCGGCGCAAGAATCGGGGCCAGCAGAGACAGATAAGCCTGCTGCGAACGGTCCAAGTGAGCAAGGCAATGAGTCTAGCTCTGATTCAGATGATGAAGAAGTGAACCCAGACTCCATTCCGCCGAGGAACCCATTACAGCGGGGTGTATCTGAGCCTCTCCCAGAGCAAGAGCGTACATCAGAGAAGCCTAAGGGTGATGAAGAGGACGACCAATCTGAAGGTCAGGGTGAGGCAGCACGAACCTTGCAGGAAGAGCCGGCAGCGGAGGAAGCGGAGTCTTCTGAAGACAAGGCGGCAACATCTCCAGGCACAAGTGAACCAAGCCAGCTGAGCAAAGAAGGATTGCTCAAGCCCACCGCTGACTCAAAAGAAGTCAACCAAACTCCAAAAGTAACAGCGAACGGGGTACCCGCACCGGTGAAACCGGTAAGTCCGAAGAAAGCAGCGCCAGCTCCAGCGCCGGCGACAGCGAAGGGAAAGAAGGGTAAAGGCAAAAGAGGCACGGATAAATATGCCCACCAGGATGAAGAGGAGCGTGAGCTCGCCCTTCGCCTGGTAGGTGCTAAGAGCGCCAAAGCTGAAAAGGCCGCTGCCGCCGCCGCGGCGAAAGCGGAGCGCGAACGAGAAGCTGAGGCGCAGAAGAAGCGACGGAAAGCGCAACATGAGCGCGCTGCAGAAGCAGAGCGGAGACGGCAAGCGCTTTTCGATGAGGGCGCAGCTGATGACTACAATGAAGAGACTGCTGCTGCAGAGGCGGCAGACCTTGCTTGGATTCCGGCACTGGTCGGTACGCCCCGCCCAGAAGATGAGATACTTACCGCCATTCCGATCTGCGCTCCATGGGCAGCGCTCGGTCGCTACAAGTACCGTGTCAAGTTACAGCCGGGCACGGTAAAGAAAGGCAAGGCCGTCAAAGAGATCCTTGGCCGGTGGGTGGCAGAAACCACCACCGGAAAGGTGAAGAAGGAGCAGGCTGAGGAAGCCGGTATTAGCATAGCTGATGCCGAGAAGCTAAGGGCACGCGAAGGAGAGCTCTTCAAGGCATGGAAGGACACCGAGATCATAAACACTGTCCCCGTTCCCAAAGTCCGAATCATGACTGGAGGAGGGGCTACTGGAGGTGACGCAAAGGGCAAAGGGAAAGGCGGCAGCAGTGGGAACAAGGGAGGCAAAGTGGGAAGAAAAAATAGACCTTGAGATATCTACATGGCAGTTAAGAGGCAATGTCAGCTTTGACCGGCTGTCTTGAATATACACTATATACTACTGGTGGCTATAGTATCCGCATGAAGTATTGGGCCGAGATAGCCGACTTCCCTCTTACAACAGGTTTCTAGAACATATATCAACCTTTCGCTCTCCTTTAGTGCTTTGTATTATTGAGAAAAATGATCTCATATGTCAAAGAATAGCACGACACCTGTCATCTGGCTGGTAGAAAGTCTAAGGCAGCCAACCTTATCATCAGGCTGTATAGTTAGTTGTTACACATTGACTCGCTTAGTCATGCAGATCGACGTCATCCCCAGAGAAATTCTGAAGCATGTTTGAGATCGTCAATCAACGACGTCAATGCTGTATCAAATTCATTACATAGGTGCAATTTTAGGCTTCAATAGTCCCTTAGAGGGATTGACACGAGGACAAGCCACTCGACAATATACTTCGTCGCATAGATAAACAAGGCGCGGTACTTGCGCCTTATGCCCCCACTAGGCCCTCACTTTTCTTTTCTTCCTTGAGTCACCCCGCGGTTGTCTACAATTCCTCGATCTTCTGGTAAATCTGTGCTTGGACCTTTATGGTGCCTTGGGCAGACTTCTGATTTTCTCACTGTCTGCCAGTGATTAGGGCCCCGGTTACCACAACCAGACGGTCCAAGCTGGTGTTCATCACGTCTCGCCTTGTCGCAGGCGGCTGTCGGCGCAGCTTGGCCCATTTCTTCAGCACGACTACCGCAACCATGACGCCACGAGATACTCGAATTCTGTCCATCCGACGACTAAACAAAGAAGATCCTGGGAACCGATCACTCGCAGAATGGTGGGCAAGCGAACGCAGCCAGAAGACGCCCGAGTCCTCGGCCATCGAAGAGGCTGCTCAACTTCTCCGAACGAGCGATATACCTGTTGCGTTTCCTACAGAGACGGTCTATGGCTTGGGAGCGGATGCGACACGGAGTGCTGCAGTGCAGGGGATTTACAAGGCTAAACAGCGGCCGTCAGACAACCCATTGATTGTTCATATCGATTGCATAGAGATGCTAGAACGACTTCTCAACCCGGAGGTGTCGAGTCCCACGCGCACAACGAGAACTGCGAGAAATCCCATCCCTGCCATCTACCAGCCTTTGATCGAGCGCTTCTGGCCCGGTCCGCTCACAATACTCCTCCATAACCCATCCGGGTCGCTGCTCGCTGGCGAAGTCACCGCGAATTTGACCACGTTTGGGGTACGAATGCCTGCGTCGCCGCTGGCACGCTTGTTGATCCATGTTGCGGACCGGCCACTGGCAGCTCCTTCGGCTAATGCGTCTACGAAACCCTCTCCGACTGCCGCTGAGCACGTTTATCAGGACCTCCAGGGACGGATCGACCTGATACTCGATGGTGGGCCCTGTGGGGTGGGAGTGGAAAGCACGGTTGTCGACGGGTTGAGCAACCCTCCGGCCATACTTAGGCCAGGCGGAGTCGGTATTGAGGAAATAAGGACGGTACCTGGATGGGAGAATGTGCAGATCGCTTATCATGATGGCACTCTCGACGTCAAGGAGGTCCCTCGGGCTCCTGGCATGAAATACCGGCACTACTCGCCCAAGGCGCGTGTAGTATTATTCTGTGCCGGGTCCAGCGAGGAGGCGATCGCAAAATATGTGTACAAGGACTTGGAAGATACTGCTATTAGGGCTCATATGATTGGCGTGGTACGAACCCGGCAATGGAAGCGAGGCTTGGGTCTAGTATCAGAGGAGGGCATCAAGAAGACATTGAAACCTATCCCGTCCCTAGTGGATGACCTGGTGTGCTTCTCTGTTCCTGTGAAGGACAGGATTAACAATTGCGAGATCCTCAGGGAGGCCTTTGACTGCCATTTGGGGGACGACATCGAGTCTATCGCGCGGGGCCTTTTCTCGGCCTTGCGAGCCATGGATGAAATGGAGGTGGATGTCATCTACGTGGAGGGTGTTTCGGATTCCCAGGGAGACCTCGCGGCTGCCGTGATGAACCGGCTCAGGAAGGCTGCTGGGACTGTGCTAAAATTATAATAATTGGAAATAGACTATGGTACTTGGTTTCGGATTTTACTCATTCCAGGATATGAATCTGGAGTGACATATAATGGACTTCCGAATTTGCATCATTCAGCAGAGCTAAGGAGCGAGGATGTATATACAGGTAGTGATCGCAGATGATTCGTAGCTTCCTGCCTTTCAGATCCATGGAAAGACCAAGGCCTGCTCCGACGATTCCTCCACTGTCGGCAACCTCCGAAACTCGTGATAGGGAACAACCTCTTGAGATTCCTAGCGAAGTAATGTCTAACTCCACTTATTTGGTTGCACGTTGCTTAATAGAACTCTAATTCTAGCAGAGTACTCTCTTATCAGTCACATCTGCTGCGGATCGAAGGATAACAATCGTTCTCAATGAGTCAATACGGCCGCTTCAATTACTCGATGAAAGCCCGACGGGGGTCCATCGATCACTTGACCAGATTTGACCCGAGATCTGTTGTTACTGAGTATTCATAAATTGTCTTGGAGGAATGATCATCTGAGATTTTGTCCCTCATTCGAGCAGTCCGAGTTCCTCTCCTTGACGCGTTGTTCTCGCTTTCCTTACTCCAGATACCAGCATCAACAATGTGTCAATCACAACTGCACGATTTCCTGCATGGCCTGCCCAAGTGCGAGCATCATGTCCACCTCGAAGGCTGCGTCACACCCGAATTGATTTTCCGGCTAGCAGAGAGAAACAACATACAACTACCTGACCCAGCAATCCACCCAGCCTACGCCTCAGTCGAAACTCTCAGAGCCCGCTACGGTGAGTTCAGTTCGCTGGACGACTTCCTCCACTTCTACTTTCATGGCATGTCCGTGTTGCACCACGAGTCCGACTTCGCCGACCTCGCCTGGGCCTATTTCCAGAAAGCACACGCGGACGGCGTCCACCACGCCGAGGTCTTCTTCGACCCGCAGGTCCACCAGGCCCGCGGCATCGACTACGAGACCGTCGTCTCCGGCTTCACAGCCGGGTGCCAGCGAGCAGAAAGGGAACTAGGCCTGTCGACCCGGTTGATTCTCTGCTTTGTGCGTCATTTGCCGGTCGACTCTGCGACCAAGCTGTATGAGCTGGCGCTTGCTAGCAACCATTTCGAGAGTGGGGTTGTGCATGGTCTCGGCTGGTCATCGTCTGAGGTTGGGCCGCCGAAGGACATGTTCCGTGAGATTTACGCTTCCGCGTCTGATATGGGTATCCGCTTGACGGCGCATGCCGGCGAGGAGGGCGATCCGACGTATATCAGTACCGCGTTGGAGCTTGGGGCCCAGCGTATCGACCATGGAATTCGGCTGGTTGAGGATCCGGAGCTGATGGCGAGGGTGGCTCGCGAAGGAATCATGTTGACCGTCTGTCCGTTGTCGAACGTGCGACTTCGGTGCGTTCAGTCGGTGGACCAAGTGCCCATTCGGAAGTTTCTGGATGCCGGTGTCAAATTCTCGATCAATAGTGATGATCCGGCTTACTTTGGAGGCTATATTCTCGACAACTACTGCGCTGTTCAGGAGGCGTTTCAGCTTTCCATCCGGGAGTGGAGGGTCATTGCTGAAAATAGTGTCAATGAGAGCTGGATTGATGAAGCGAGGAAAGCCGAGCTACTCAAGCGCATTGATGAGCATGTACAGAAGCATACTGTCGTTGCTTGATGCTGTATGAACCGTGTTGATATTGAGATGCATGAGTGTGCAGATGTGTATATGAGCAGCGTATTAGATGAATCTTTGACCAGTTTATATCAATTGATACAGTAAAATGTGAGGTTTTCATGCTATACTGAGCCAGGCCTAAGACAATCAAAATAATGAGTCTATCCGATGGAACGTCTACTAGATGTTGATTAACCACGCCCTCTCGCTGTCACCTGATGTCATCGATTCCTATCTTAGTAGCAAACAATGATCCGCTAAGTATAAGTGACTGGGCAATATCATCAGCAGCAGCCATCTACCACTCTCGCTACATAACTGCTCACAACAGTAGCAGATGAGCTTGAAAGCAGCCGATTTGGCCAGACAAGCAGCCTGCAAGACGCTCTTCCAGTCTGTCCGCTCTCTCCCACCTCTACTCCTCATCTCAAGATCCCCGCTTTCTACAGCTTGTTATATAACCACTCTCCCTACAACCAAAACAACAGCCAGACCCCCATTTTGTTCCTATAAGAGAACAATGTCTACGGCAATCCCCGACCGCTACAAGCTCATCTTCTTCGTGCCACACTCGCACCTCGAACAGTGCAAGGAGGCCATCTTTGCTACAGGAGCCGGTACCTTCCCCGGGGGCAAGTACAGCAAGTGCGCGTTCCAGATGCCCGGGCAAGGACAGTTTCTGCCTGCTGGGGATGCGAATCCTGCCATCGGATCGGTTGGACAGTTGGAGACTGTCGAGGAAATGAAGGTGGAGATTATGTGTCTGGGACGATCGGTCATGCTGCAGGCGGTCGAGGCGTTGAAGAAGGCGCATCCCTATGAGGAGGTGGCATATGAGGTCTATAAGATGGAGAATGTTTGAATTGCTCGTTGGATTGATGCGTCTGGGGCCTGTAATTGCTGCAGTTATGATTCATGATAGCGTTTGTACCTGTTTAATAGTTGAATTTTGCATGGAGAATCCATCATTGGCGAGCAGTTCGTGTTGAAGGTCGCGTTATGAGCGCTCCTCAAGATTTTGAAGACATCCAGATAATATCTATCTCATCTTCGAGAACAATTCATCGTCAATTGCGCAGTTGATGTTGCGCTCAATCCTCAAGTCGTTCAGTGGAGTAATCTCTTAGCGCTGATTGGCTGATCGCAACACCCGCAAAACGCCTCGTCGACTCCATTGAATTCATCTGCAACTCCGGCCATCATCGCAACAGCCTCAATCCGTCCTCCCCTCTTTCGATCCCCCTCTTTATTCCTCTCCTTCGCCAGCAAT